AGCGGTGCAACTTAAGTTTGCCTCTTCAGCCTTTCTCAAAAAAAAATTCAGATTTTCAATAGACCAACAATTTCAAATTATATCACTGGAATAATGATGTTAATTTGAATAATTTTTTCACCCATCTGTCAAATCTGGGAATAAACATTCAAATGTATTTTTATTGTCACCAACTATACTTACTTCGTATCATTCTAATATTTGATGTTTTTATTGATGAAATTTAAATAAGAGTACAAATGAATGCAAAACAGAAAAATGGTGTATTACACACATTTTATAAGACAAATTGACGAAACAGTGTCATATAAAACTTGTATAATAATATACTATTTTGTATCATTGATCCAGTTGTCATGTTTCAGACGGAAGAGGAGACTCAGATCAGTCCGGTACTTTGTCAAAGAAGTTGAGGTTTTGATCAATTTACCCTTCATTAATTGGAAATTTTCAGGCAGGAATATAGGGAATGTAAAATATCCCATGTTGTCTATCTTTCAATTCAAATTTTCGCTACAACTGAACAACGTGATCGAAGAAAATCTCGGTTCTTCTAGTTCACGAAACGAAAGAAAATCACTACTGATATTATATAATATGTATGGTCATGTATGGATATTTCCTTTTAGTACGCCCATGGCCAACCATGGACTTTTATATCGAAGGATAATACTACTCTTCATCTGCGAATATCCGTTTCATGGCTTCTCGGTATATCTAACCCTTCAGCAACTAATCCTGATATTCTTGACCTACATTCAACATGATATGAAATTGAATATCCCGATTCCGTTTTTTTTTCTGGATTCCACATCAACTTCTTCGATTCAAATCGATTCAAATACAACAGTCTGTCGTTTCGCGTATATTTGGTTCGAGATAAACTATACAGGGTGATTCATCAAAAAGAATGGGAAATCTCTGAACTACATATAGTTAACACTAAAATATTGAGATTTAGTCCAACATTCCTCATGAGAAAGGAGAAACAGGGTGTAATTTTTAACAGCATGAACATGAAATTTTGTAGTTTCAGGTTTTCTGACATGAGAAATACGAATTTGCAACTTATTTTGGGATAGCTAATAGAGGTAAATTACATCATATCTTCTTTGTCCATTTAATGATGATCAAAATATGAGACTGGAACCTTTGGCAAGATATTACTCTACACTCTGTTTTACCACTAATCAAACCGATTTTTCATACGCCTCAACACGTGTTTCGCTAACTATGTTAGCATCTTCAGAAGAAGATGAAATCTGATAAGATTAAAACAGTTTTGAAATTTTCCTGAAGATGCAAAAATAGTTAGGGAAACACGTGTCGAGGCGTATAAAAAATCGGTTTGGTTAGCGGTGAAACAGTGTAGTGTATGATCAAAATAAGTGAAAAATCTGAAGCTCTAACGTTTTTCGCGTTATTCGCTCTTTTGAAGAGATTTATGTTACACTTATAACATTTTAATAATTTTGAATTATAAAGTTAGCGAAGTAATAGTGAAAAAAAGACAGTAATCAATTATGACAATCACTAACAACGCTAACAACAAACAGAATTTCAAAGTAAGTGCTCGACCAAAGTTGAGGAAAAATTGAAAACAAAATCCCTTGAACACCCTCTGTTTCTGCAACATATTTATATAAGTAAAGCATGTTGGGTTAAATTTTCATATTTTGGTGTTTACTATCTTTAGTTAAGAGATTTCCCATTCTTGATGAATCACTCTGGACTGTCTAATAATTATGAAGATAATGAAGAAATACTTTTTGAGTCTCCTTTGAAGCATGGAATAAAAATCAAACGTATTTTTCTCATTCAGCCAATTTCAAACCTTCATACCTTTCATTGCTCAATTTGGAGATGCAAGAGAATTTTTCTCACTGCGGAAATAATGTGACCAACCAAATATTCCGCTTTATTTTCCAGAACCATTTAGGAATGATACACTCTGTGTATGGTCGACGAATGTCTATAAGTACATACCTACCTACTGATAAATGACTCGGACAAATTCCCAGACGAACGAGTCGTAAATAGACGTTATAGACTTGCCAGTGAACCAAATTTAACAAACCCGACCGAAAAAGACATAAAAACAATCTCTTCACTTGACCTCGCCCAAAAAATATACTAACCTTAACGAGGAATGGAATTCCTACTTGAAACATCTGTGAACACCATGATTTTATCACCAAACAAGTACCTAAACCTAATCAACCCACTCGACGAATGGTCTTTACATGATGGGTATCTATACAGGGTGTTCCAGAAATCAGTACATTAGTCGCAACCACGCAAGTACTCATAAAAACTAATCGAAATCGTCTTCCGCCAACGCACTATGATGCCAAGCGCATTCGGATTAGTCTCAAAACCAAGTTGGATAGAATATGGTGGAATCACATACAGTGTTTTGTTTCTTCCAAAACGCAATAATGGCATGTTATGGCGACACTTTTTACAGATTTCTTTCATGACAGAAAACAGAAAACGGCGCTTACACACCGCTTGCACCAGAAATAATAATATCATAACATAACCTCAAATCAGATGAGATTAAATTTGAAAGTACGAAACTGTAATTTTGGGGAATTTTAATTATCATCAGTTCTACCAACCTCGAATTTTGGTTGATTGCGCCATCTAACGGGTAAAATGCGACCTATATTCCGCGATATTGAGAAAATGCTTCTGTCAAGTAGGTCGTAGGTCAAGAACTTTGACCGAAAAACAGTAATGGGATTTGTTTTGTTCATCCTGCTCAAAACGAATAAGGCTAACGGTCCTGATGAAATTCCACCCATTAATCTCAAGAAGTGTGCAGCAGAATTGACAGGAAGGAAAGGAGCACCTGTTCAACAACTATAGGCCTATCGCTTTATTATCAGTTGTTTCCTAGGCGATGGTGAACATTTAGCTTATCAATCATCTAAAATTGGTCAGGAATCATTATTGATAGACAATATGGCTTTCGTCATCGAATATCAACTAGATATTTACTTGCAATCGTTCTATGGCAAGCTTAATTAGAAAAACATAAGGAATCTCTTGACAGTGTTTGGCACCAAGGACTTTTCCACAAACTATACCATCTGCCCTATTTTATCAAGTTTTATTTCAGACAGATCGCTCCATGTGGTGGTGATGGACAGAATATCTTCTGATACTATAGCCATCCTCCATATTCCGGCGTTCCACAACGATCAGTTTCAGCACCAACATTTTTTCTAAGAATTCCCATTTCTTCCTAAGAAACTAAGAGATCCTGACGGGGGCAGGTGAAAATTGTTCTCGCTCAAATTACAGCTTCACCAACCTAGTTGAATTGAACGCCCCAAAAACTCAAACCTATATTTTCTCAAGACATAACGAAATAGTTATTTAGACACCACGGTAGTGAAGAAAATCATTAGTACGTAAGTACATTTATTTCCGCAATATACACAGAACAGGTGTACATTTAGCCATTGGCATAAGGACAGATTAGTGTCATTCTACAAAATTATTTCCTAATGAAAAAAAATTTTAAGCTCCATAAATTTGGAAACTTCATCGTATTTCACTACTTCTAATGATTTTGATTTTGTTGGACATTATATCGTATACTTAAAACTACTTGAAACTAAAGGATGAATATTCTTTTAATTAGATGGGGAGCGGTATAGCGAAACATTCATTTAAATCATAATATACATGGTGGTGTAATAAGTCCTTCAGTGATTGTTTGAATTTTCTTATTGAAAGTTCCTTCATAAAAGGAGGCAAATGGTTGTAAATTTGTATTCCTGTGTACAAGGGTCCATTTCGAGTTTTTTCATACCTGTAGTTGGGCATTTTTATTTTATTGCTTCTTGTCATGTTTCTGAATGTTGAAGAACATCACGTTTTTTATGGATCAAAATGGCAAGTTTGAATATGAATGTGTTTGTCAAGGTGAATATCTTAATTTCAAGAAAATACTCTCTACAAGATTCTCGATAGTTCAATTTGAACAAAGTACGGATGGCACGTTTTTGAATAATAAACGTGGTTTGGGAACCAACGGAATTACCCCAGAATTCTATTCCGTATTGCATCAAGCTGTGAAAATATGCGAACAATACCATTTTAGAGACTTGAAAGTTTGTGTTCGCTTTGACAGTTCGCGATGCAAAAGTTGCTTTGTTGAGTTTGGTATTCAGCTGCTTTATGTGTTCCATCCAATTTAGTTTCATGTCGATAGTTATTCCTCAGAATTTAGTGGATTCGTTCGAGGAGATTGGTTCATCGTTCAAAATTACATCAACATGTTGGAAATTTCTATAAGGGTTGAACAGTATCTGTTGAGTCTTAGATATATTCAATGATAACTTATTCGCTGAAAACCAGTCTGCTATAGCGTCCATTGCACTTTGTGATTTTAAGGTAAGGTCTTCAACTGAATGGCCACGGATGATAATGCTAGTGTCATCAGGTAAATAGAGAAAGCTATTTCGGGAAGCTATTTCGGGAATGTTAGGGACTATGTCATTAATGTAGATGAGAAACAATGTTGGTCCGAGGATAGAACCCTGAGGCACACCACTTTTTATGTGGCACTTTTCTAACTGATAATACTCGACGTTGTTATGATCCTTGTGTTCTATTCTTACCAACATTTCTCTATCATGCATACAAGTTTCAAACCAATTTTCGACCGTCCCTCGTATTCCATAGAATTCTAGTTTATTTAGTAGTATTGAATGATCAACACAGTCAAACGCCTTGGAGAGGTCACAGAATATTCCAAGTGGAAACTCTTTGGATTCCAAAGAATTATGTGACCTCTCCAGGAACGTGAAAACCGCATCAGTTGTGTTGACATTTTGTCATTATGTTATTAACCAGGGACCAAGATTGAATAGCATACTTCCTCACCTGGTCTCAACAAAGAAGAAAAGGGGGCGTAACACAATACCGCGTTTCGATAGGAACGCTAATGAAAAAAATGTTATTGAAATAATAGCATACTTCCTCACCTGGTCTCAACAAAGAAGAAGGGGGCGTGACACAAGTAGGCGTCTCGATAGGCGCGCTGACGCCCACCCGGCCACGCCCCTCCGCCTTAGTGCCCTCCCTCTCGCGCAACGGAGGCGTCTCGAAGTTCGTCCGCGGACTGGGCCCAGTGACACTCAGATGCCGCGGTCGGGGCGGCTGCGGCGAGGCGCTCCGCCCCAAATGGGGCAGGCTGGGCGAGGCCCTGCCCCCCGGGAAGGTGGCGTTGCGCTTGTGCCGGCGCGGAAACACCGCGAGGCAGTCCACCCACCAGCGGGCGTCCTCTCGGCTAGCCGCCTTGACGAAGGTGACGCGGTCGGGACTGGTCAGGGCTAGGGAGTGGGCGTGGCCTGTGAGTTGTTCGGCGCCGGTCACTTCCAGCACTTGGCACATGTCGACGGATCCCTGGGGGATCGTGTCAGGCTGAAAGAATGATAATGTTTAGGCGTAATACTAACACCGGATGTCCCTTTATCTCAGTTATCATGAAATTACGAGAGCTATCACCTGACACACGCTGCTTACACGCTGCGGTCCATAAAAGCCCACTTTACGCCCTTGATACATAAATAACTATTACGTCAAGTGTATCCGCCCGTTTCTGCATATCATCATAATAATTATTAAAGGAAGTACGGGTTCACTTTTCAACGTTGTCTGCACTTTTTCTTGATGTAAGGCATGTCAAATCAATTAATTATATTTACATATATCACATAAAATTATTGAAGATTAATCTTGGCTTTGACACAATATATTGACGTTAATTCCAATTTGTAGTTTTGTTGTTTTATTCCAAATTAAAAGAGTTGATTATCAATTTGACTGTGTTAATCGACTTGAGTATATGTAAATTTCCAATTTGAAACTGTTTATTCTGAATTCGGCAAGTGTGTTTTTATTCTGAATTATTTTACCAATTTGATGTGTTCCAAGGTGTGTTCAGTTCAGTCAAATTGAATGATTGAAATGGTATGTAACAACAAAAGACGAAAGAAGTAGATAAAGTATATACCAATTAAACGAGTTTCATAAGACTATATTGTAGAAGTATGACGAGCGAAGCGAGGATACTTCATAAAAGTAAAAAATATAAACCGAAATTGATGACGATTTCTTTTGAACGCAAAATTTAATTCTAATGTCTTCAACTTCGCAAATATTCAAGTCGAGGAAATTCATAGAAATACTCTTGGAATACTGTCCATATTGTACATATTACATTATCGAAATCGAATAATGTGAATCGTTCTGAGATTTTTTATCTCGAATTTAAGTGTTACTCAAAGGTCAAACAAACTATTAAACTATATAATTATCGGAACGACCGATTAAATATCAATTAGGTTTTATGATCACTGGAATATGATTATGCTTTTTTAACGATTTCGGTTCTACAATCGTTCATTCATTTCCCAATAACTCAAAACAGACCCAAGGTTAGTGGGCATAAGTAATTTATTTGTATTGTAAATACCAAATATCATATTATAGGTACATGTGTTTGAGTAACCAGATAAATATGAGAATTTTCATTATTAATTATAGTTATTATTGGTATGCTGACTTTCTTCTTGTATTTCTTGAAAATCTATTTGATTGAAGGTGTAACAAAACCAACCGCATCATTTACGAGTATGAATTTTGAAAAATGTCAAAAAAATTGGAAATTTGAAGAATAGTAGTATTATACAAGGGAAAAAAGTAGATATTAGCACCAGGTTGTGTTGTCTCCCGACCGTGAGCTAAAATCTAATATTTTCCCGTGTATAATAATATAGTTACCCTATTTTTTCTGTGACAGGAAAAGGGACGAATCAATATCGGGAAGATATTACATTACATTAAAATCAGAAAATTATTATCGACGTGAAATTTGAAGTTTTTAACAGGAATGACAGCCGCGTTGCATTCATCTTCATCATTCTTTTGAAGTAATCAAATTCCTCTGGTTACTAATTAATTAATTTCTTTTTTCTCATTGTAGGACTATGTAATTTCTTATTAGGCTGATGATGGACATACGAATGTCCGAAAACATGTTCCCTTGATGTGATTATTCACAATGAATTGTCGTGGAGATGACTTTGTGTATTATTCAGTATTAATCAAATATCTGTCAGTCTGATTCTGTGATTTGATTTCAAAAAATTGCGAATTTAGTGGTTGTTTAGTAATTTACGTAACCACGAAGTCGAATGGAAGATAAAAGGACTTGCAGTTCCTTCTCGGAGGCGGTGTTATCGGCATATTTAACTAGGAGCACAGAGAAAATTATGTTTCATCTACTGAAGACTACACTATTCTACATTCCATCATTCAGTATTCCTTGTATCACTTTGTATAGACATCCTCAAGATTTTCTGTGTTCGAACACAATCACATATCCGACGACTATACATGCAACGTTGATTCTTCGAAAAAAAATGTCAACTTCCAATTTCATTCAATTAATCGTCAAAAAAATGCATCAGTTTGAATGAAAATTCATAACACAACACTGAAAAAAAAGATAGGGCTCATAGTTAATAAATATTTGTTTGGGTGCCTTTTATTTACAATGAATAAAGAAAAGAACATTTTATTTTTTATTAGGATATTTTATTTAATATTAGTAAACGCGATAATATGATTTGTTAATGAAAAATAAATAGTTTGTTTGAGGTCGATATATTTATAATTAACAATATAAATTTACTACTAATGAAATCGTTTGTTGGGTGATATTACTAAAATTGTATTCATTATTAATTTTGAGTTTATTCAAAGTGAATAAGTCTTAGTGCCAGATAATAAATATTCATTGAAAATACGGCGCTGAACATTAGTATAAAATCGCCTCGATAGGTGCCGTCACGCCGTGGTGGCTTCATAATGGGACACGTGTCACGTCGTTCGTCGGTCGGTGGTCCGGGTTTCGTGTTTCGTTCTTTCGTTGTTTGCAGTCGTGCGCGTGCGTTACTTGTGGTGGTGCCATTTATTGTGTTGTGTGTTGTGCAGCTTCTGTTGAAAAAGTGACAAGTACCTATAGGTATCTCTATATAACGCAGTTCACCAAGGCTGTCTCGCGCAATAATGGATCAGGTCCAGGAGCTGGAAAAGTTTCTGAATGACAACGGTTTTGTGGAATTGATAAATATATGTAAAGGTAATTTTGTAAAGAGTGAATTGATTCCAATTTCTTCCATATTGAATGTTCGATTTCAGAAGGCTCCTCTTGCGACGCTATTGGTTTATTAATAATCAATAATATTTTTTTATAACAAAAAAACCCAATTCTTCATTCATAAATTTTATATCAAGCTATACAAAAATAATAATACCTGATTAGCTATTAACAACTTTGTTCTCTAATCAATATAAATCATTGATTTAACAGGAAATTGTATTTGTAGCAAATGGCGTCGATAGCATAACGACACTCAAAGAAATTATTCGTGAACCTGACGAAAACAGAGTATTAGTACCCCAGTTAGGACAAAGGATTAAGTTAAAATACAAGTTGATGATTTTTGAACAATCTCAAATCGAATCTCAAGAACAGGCTAATAATATTATTATGTGAGTATATATGTCTGGTGTGAATTATGTTTTGATTTTACACATTGCAATTGGATATCTAATATATGTAGGTAAATGAAACACTGTAGTCTCTTTTATTTTTAGACATGACTATGACACCCATCACTATATTGAAGAATCTGAGCCACCCAATAAAATATACATTGTAGATGTAAACGATCAGTCTACGGAAGGTTCCAGTCATATTGAGGAAAATGATGAAAATGGCTCAACCTCAACATCTACCTCTCTCAAAGCCTCAAGTGGAACCATCATCAGTACTGAATCATTATTAAATGATTTCAATTTATCGGAGTTATTGGAAAAAACGTCTATGGGCAGAGCAATAAAAGAGCTATATAAATTGAAACAATGTTTAAGTTCTAAGTGTCAATCGTATTTTTTTATAGATAATAAAATATGTAAGGTAAATAAATATGCTTTATTTATTAGAAAAAATGCTGAGGTTTGTTATGTACAAACGTTCATTTTCAATGAATAAAACATATTAATAATAAAAATGTGTTTATTAAATGGTAATGACATATATAATATTAATAAATATTCCTAATTTATTATGAATAATGTTTTATTTACAGTTGATAAATCTATAGTGAGACATATATTTATTAGAAATTAATTTGAATTAACTATTAATGAGGAATATTCAAATAATTTTAATGCATTATTTGTTTCTAATAAATAAACGTTTATTCCGCAATATTCGAATAAATGATTTATTAGGTGTTAATTAATTTCGTTAACTATGAATAAACTGTTTTTTCAGTGAATTATCAAAGCTCTGAATTTGAAAATTCCGAAAACGTCAAGAGGATACAGGTGAGAAAAAAAATTTAAAAAATTATCTGTTCAAACGGTAAGATGACGACGATGCAATTTTACACCCATTCAATTATCACCCTGTAGCAATGTTAGTTGAAATCACAGAAGTTTCATATTGCCACAAAAAACTGTCAAGAGATTAGCCTAATCATCGGTGGAAACCGATTTCAAATTGGTAAGAAAATTCCTGAGTTATTCTACTTTGAATTCAGGCTATATTTTGGACCACGACGTTATCAATGTTGACCAGTTTAGATACCAATTCCTGAAAAATTCTCGATCAAACTCGATCAGCCTTTATATTTTTCCAATTCAGTCCAAGTTAGGTAATATTGCGTAACGCCCGAATTTTAATGATAGGAAAATGCCTTACTTTCTATCGCATACTGATGTATTTGAAACGAAAGTCTATAAAATATGTATGAACGTACTCCATACATTAAAAGGTTGTAAACCCGGTGACAAGACATGACAGTGAAAGTCAGATACAGACATCGGCCACACTTATCGCCACCTGTGTTTCATTTCTCTCGGTAAAAAAAAAATCACTAGGCCGTTAGATAAGCCAATTCGCGAATACCGTGAACGTGAATTGGATTCGTATGGATTAGAGTCACTGGATGGTATTAGTTTGATAAGAGTTCGGACACAGCTGAACTTTTGTCCTTTTCTATTTTCTATAATACAATGGTTTAAGTGAATAAAAGAATAAGACATATATTCTGCTCTTTGTCTTTTCAATTTCCCTAGTAGCGCCTGATTGTCAGATACGATTTTAGAGGTTATATTTTCTGTCAAATCAATCATAGCCGTAGATGGACAATGGGTATAGGGTACAAACACCCACTTCTAGCAGAACAACTGTTATATAAATGAAAAGAATGCATATAACAACACTTTAATATTAGAAAAGATACACATATGCATAAAATTATAGCTATAATTCCTTACTGTATGTAAAACTGTACTCAAGTGATGAGTATAAAACATTAACTTATTTATATTAAATTAGAGGTAGG